GTCAGTCAAGACTAACAAGGACTTAGACTTGGACTTAGACAAACTAGGAGAAACCGGGACTAAACCGGGACTAAACCGGGACTAAAACGGGACTAAAACGGGACTAAAACGGGACTAAAACGGGACTAAAACGGGACTAAAGGGCCCAGACCAAAACCAGGACTGAGACTGGGACTGAGACCAGGACTTAGACTGGTTTAGACCTGGTTTAGACCTGGTTTAGACTTGGTTTAGGTCTGGTTTAGATCTGGTTTAGACCTGGTTTAGATCTGGGTTAGATCTGGTTTAGACCTGGTTTAGATCTGGTTTAGATCTGTTTTAGTCCTGGTTCAGTCCTGGTTTAGTCCTGTTTTAGTCCTGGTTTAGTCCATTATCAGTTTTTTCCATTTTTCATTTAAACCCAAAATTGAAAACTGAAAAAAACAAATCATTGTCAGTTATTTTCATTTTGGTTTTGGAGACAAATAATTTGTTGTTTTCTTATTTTTGGTTTTATTTTGAAAAACAAATGAACAAATGACACACTGATTATTTTTCCTCGTCGTGTTGTTGTTCTGTTCCAGTTGATGCAGCAGTACGAGGTTCGTCCTGAAGATGGCGCTCCGGTGATCGAAGCCAAAACCCGGATCCTGATGATTCCAGGGGCCCCAGTGAACCTGCGCTTCCTGCCCCGGGCCTGAAGAGGGCGCTGCTCACCACAGAGAAAACTATATCCACTCACCACAGAGAAAATATATCCACTCTCACATGATCCTCAAACAACCTTTTAAATCATTTGTAACTAATAATTAATAATCAACTAAAAACAACACCGGATGATTTTGATTCTATTTCCAATATTTAGTTTAAAGTTAATTTCAAATAACTTCAAAAAACAGTCTCTGTGCCTGTTTTAATTTAGATATTTTATTCTCTCTGGATTATTTGACCCAGAAGTTCTGCTGCAGTGTCGACCAGGGATTTATAATAAAAAATATTTTTATTATAGTTCTACAGAGTCGACTGATCAAGGGAGAGTTTCTCGCTGCTTCCTGTTTCTTGTCAAACATGAAAATAAACACGTCGCTATAATTCAGGGAGTCAAACTCAAACTGACAGAGGCCAAAATTGAAAACAGGGACTAAGTCTTGGGCCAAACTAAATATTTATTGAAAAATTTCAATGACATCTGCATGTTTTCTCTTCTTTCGAGATATGTAATATTAAACCTTTTCTTATTTAAATAAATGTTTAATAATAGTTTTGCTTAAACACTGAATCCAGAACAAGCAAAATATAAAATAATGTTAAATAAATATTTTATCTATGAGCGGCAGCAGCTCTAATACAGATTTAATATGATCTTGCGGCCAATTAAATTATATCACAGACTAAATTTGGCCCCTGGGCCTGAGTTTGACATGTCTGATATAAAAGAAGAGACAAGTTTGTCCACAAAACTGCAATGATTTTTTAGGTTAGTCTTCTAGCAGCAGAACTTCTATTAGCTTATCTGCTTCTATCTATCTGTCTGTATATATATGTATATATATGTGTATATATATATATATATATATATATTATAATAATATATAATATATAATATATTTATTTATTATTATTTTATTTTTTTTAAACAATCTTCAAATTAAATATTGGAAATAGAGGCCGTAATCTTTATTGATTTATTTTTACGCTAAAGCAGAATAATGAAATGAGAATGAACAATAAAATTACATTTTATTTATTTTTTTGTTCTTAATTGAAATTCAAAAGAAAGAATGATACATACAACCTTCTAATGAATCTTCTCATTATTTATTTGTGTTTTTTTTTTTTCCATTTTTCCATAAATGTATGAATTTTATTTTCTGTTTCTTTCAGACAACAACAATCATGTTTTTGGGTTGAATAATGCCACCACTTTCTGAAACTATTGTGAAAATAATATTTAAGCTTTTGTTTATTTATATCGACAGAGACGAGGCTGGACAGAAAACAAACAAACAAGCTCAGAGTTTAGTCTGTTTTCTGGATAAAAAGTTCCATACTGTGGCTTTAAGGAACATGGGGGGTTCAAAATGATGGAACTGATTAATTGAAATCTAATTTGGAAATTTCGGTGCAAATCTCATAAATCTGACCTCTGCTTTTCTGTGCAGTGCTAACAGTGTGCACTTTAACGTCTGCTTTTATTTCTAAACTTTTTAAATAAAAATCTTAACTCAATGAATCAAATGGATCTGTTTTTATAAAGACTCAACTAAGACTAAACCAGAACTAAACCAGGACTAAAGCCGGACTAAAGCCGGACTAAAGCCGGACTAAACCAGGACTAAACCAGGACTAAACCAGGACTAAACCAGGACTAAACCAGGACTAAACCAGGACTGAACCAGGACTAAACCAGGATTAAAACAGGACTAAACCAGGACTAAACCAGGACTAAAACAGGACTAAACCAGGACTAAAACAGGACTAAAACAGGACTAAATTAGGACTAAACCAGGACTAAATTAGGACTAAGGCCAGGACCAAACCAGGACTAAACCAGGACTAAATTAGGACAAAGACTAGGACTAAATCAGGACTAAAACCAGGATTAAACCAGGACTAAATTAGGACTAAACCAGGACTAAATTAGGACTAAACCAGGAGGTTATGTCAGGCTGGACTGTTAGATTTGTTAATTAGATCATTAACTGTGTAAACTGTAGAACATTTTGTCATTTAAAACATTTGGATTTTAAAGTAAATCTTGTTTAGTTCCCGGATGTGTCCACTAGATGGGGCTGTGGGCGTTTCCTGTCGCTGTTTCACTGTTTTTCATTCCATCAGACGCTCGGAGCTCGAGGCCGCTGCGCGCGTGGGGCTCCGGGTTCAGACAAGTGTCATTTTTTCCCCGCACCCCGCACGCGCCCTCCCCACGCAACTCCCGCACGCGCCTTTATAACCGCGCCATGTCCCCGCGTCCTCGTCCTGCCCGCTCCTCCCTCCTCAGCCTCTGCCCCACGGACACGGCGGCTCTGCGCTAAGACCAGGACCGGGACCGGGACCAGGACCAGGGACCAGGACCAGGACCCACCGCCCCGTCCGGCTCCGCGCTCGCCGACATGAGCGCGCGGTGAGCGGACACGACGCCGCCGCACCGCCGCTCCTCCTCTCCGCGCTCCCGGGGGTTTGTCTGGATGTTCCACCGCAGGAATCATCATCCTCATCCTCACTCTCATCATCATCATGTGAAGCGAAGATGAAGATGGAGGTGAGTGCACGCGCTTTGCACACGTACACGCGCGCCTATCCATCAGCTCTTTTGTCTCCGGGCACCTGCGGTTTGACGCGCGGACGCAAGACTCGGTTTTACGCTTATTTTGTTGGGGTTTTTTTTTTTTTTTTGGTTTTTTTTGTGGCCTGTTTCGCGTGGATGCGGGTCATGTGCGCGGGATGGAGGCCCGGATCGTGGCTTCGTGAGCGGTGTGGTCCACAAAGAGCCAGGCCTGAGGGTCCGGAGGCTGTGATCCAATGGAAAAAGCTGTTATTAAAGGTCTGTTGGAGAGTGTGTGTGGATAGGCTGACAAAATGGCCACACTATCGCCTGCCAATCAATAAATCATAATGCAAGAAGCTTAGCCATAATTCCACACATACACACACACACACACACACACACCTGCTGCTGAGGAATATTCACTGTTTTGCTTCGTTGTACTGCATGTACTTTTACTTTTACTTCCCTGACAGTTGTAGAGTGAGCAGATTTTCATAATTTAAATCTTGGTTCTTGACTCATTTATGGGTCAGTCATAATCTGAGGGCAGAGGCGGCGCTACGTTTAGGCAAACGTAGGCAGCTACTCGGGGCCCCCGAACCTGGAGGGGCCCCCAAACAACTGCCCTCGCTGTTACCACTAATGGCTGAGGCCTCAGAGGAATTAGATTTTCTCTCAGTGTGACATTAAATAAGAGTGGTTTTATTTTTGAACGAAAAATCACCATCAAAATAGAATCTGTCAAATCTATTTTAAATGTCAAAGCGTTTCCCGTTTCACGTTAGAACGGACGAGTCGACTTGACCCTGATTTGAACAGAATCATATATAATTCATGTAAACCATCAGACAGTCTGGCGCCACCTAGTGCCTCCGCTCAATTTAATTTCTCTCCAGTGACTAGATCAGGAATCAGAAAACACTGGACAGTTTACAAAAACCCTGGAAGTTGTAGACCGCGCACAGACCAATCAGACGGTTATATCAGCCTCTTCAAAATATCGCAATAAATATCGTATCGTGAGATGTATATCGTGATAATATCGTACCGAGAGATTTGGATTAGGGTTGTCCCGATCCGATTATGTGATCAGAAATCGGCGCAGATCACGTGACTGCGGACTCTATCTGGACTCGGACATTATGTTCTGATCAGGTATCGGATAAATAATATACAGATATAACACACAGGACACACAGGAGACAACAGTTTTTCTGAGGCGCGGGATTTGCTCAGGAACATTCAGTTAGTGCGACTGTTTCAGCGTCTGTTGTACTAGAGACACACTTACGCTGGGACTTTTGGGTCGTGTCGTGCTCGGGTGTTGTTACCTGTGGTTCTGTGGTCCGTGTTCACACCTGTGCGGCCGATGGTGTCGTCACACGTGCTGTTTGTTTGTATGTTGCACAGTAGAGCTGGACTTTTGGCGGTGAGGGTCCGTCCAGTGGCCTGAAGTGTCTATTGAGCGGTGGGGCTGATGTTGCGGTGTTGCTCCGCTGTGGGTTTGTGGATGTGGTGTCGGTGCAGGGGACAGAGGCTGTGGAGCTTCTGTCGTCTCGTTTTTATTTGGTAAAATTTTGTATTATTTGGATTTCATAGACGAGCCTAAATGTTTCAAATGTAATGCACATGCAAACATATAATATCAAATATACAAAGTGTAGATTGTGCAGAGTCGAGTCTCAGGTCTGATCTGGTTCTGGTCTGGTTCCTGTTTTGTCCAGTTCTTAAGTTTACTAAGTTACACATTCCAAGACCAGACTGTGAAAAGTCAAGATTTTCAACAATGATGCTTCATGGTTAGAAAAGTTTTAAAAAAATTAAAGTTTTGGACATTTGATTTTTCACAAGTTTAGCCCAAATACGACAACACAATCTGATCCTGGATCTGATTCTTTGCTCTTAGTTCATTTTATAATGTTTTATAGAAGTATCGGATCAGGACTCGGTATCGACAGATGCTCAAAATCAAAGGACTCAGACCCGGGGGCAAAAAAACGTGATTGGAACATCCCTAATGTGGATATCGTTACATCCCTAATAATTCCTTGTGTGAATAGGGACGACGCTCCACAGACCTGAGCTGTAATGTCGTGTAGCGCTATAACCAGTTTGTCTCGATAGGTTTAATCTGCACTGTGGAACATTCTAGACAACGCAATAACATTTCCATGGCGACAAGCACGATATCTTCTCACTGTACGATATTTATTGTGATATTTTGAAGACGCTGATATAATTGTAGAAATTTTAAAATACCTTGAAAAGATTTTGTTGTGAATTATTTCCGTCATAATCTGAAGAATTCAAGTCAAAAACATATTTCTTCATGTTGTCTGCGCTGAAATGAATCATGGGAAATGTAGTTTATAAGATGTTTCTTCTATAAAACCTGCATTTAAACAAAAAAAAAAACCCCAACAACTTTTGATTCAATTTATTGTGAGACTTTTGACGATACGATATCACGATATTTCAGTTATTGTTACATCCCAGGGATTATAATATTTTTGTGCAGCAGAGACACGCGTAATGGATTAAAAGTTGCACAGTGCAGCTTTAAATCCCACAGTACGAGTGATCCGTGTTAAAGTGATGATAATAAACGAGCTGTGGGGAAATAAATCTGGGCCATAATTAAACCTGGACGTTGCCGTGGGACTGGAGCAAAAACCAAACTGAATAATTTATTAAGACCGTTTTACAAATTGCCTCATTATTTCCATAACAAACAAAAGATGTTTGGTTTTCCATTGTCCACAGAAAGAGACTAAACCAGGACTAAACCAGGACTAATCCAGGACTAAACCACGACGAAACCAGGACTAAACCAGAACTAAACCAGAGCTAAACCAGGACTAAACCAGGACTAAAAACCAGGACTAAACCAGGACTAAACCAGGACTAAACCAGGACTAAACCACGACGAAACCAGGACTAAACCAGAACTAAACCAGAGCTAAACCAGGACTAAACCAGGACTAAAAACCAGGACTAAACCAGGACTAAACCAGGACTAAACCAGGACTAAAACCTGACGAAACCAGGACTAAACCAGAACTAAACCAGAGCTAAACCAGGACTAAACCAGGACTAAAACCAGACTAAACCAGGACTAAACCAGGACTAAAAACCAGGACTAAACCAGGACTAAACCAGGACTAAAAACCAGGAGTAAACCAGGAGTAAACCAAGACTAATCCAGGACTAAACAAGGAC